AGTCAGGAACGTTAAAACGTGTCGAATGGTATGCCCGAACACGGGAAGTGAAGTACCACGGTTTTCTTCACGTGGTTAAGAACCCGAAGACAATATAACACAAAAGTCTCGCTTGGCTAGTCATTTACGTTTCCTCTTCCTTGAATTTCATCTGAGAGACGCCGGCGGCGCCTCACCCTTTTTCCAGTCCCTTTGCACCCTCGGCTCTTCCGTTTTTCATCGTCACGGCGCCTGGGTTACACACCCCAAAAAAGTATTTCGTGCATCCTGTTCATGATGGAGGAGCGTCGGTTTCCTCTCGACAACTACTGCAGTTTTACTGAGATCTCGAGGCGCAGAGATTTCGAGATGATTCGGGAAAACTTTGCGGCCGTTCTGCTTCTTTTTCGCAATCAGTCTTACAATTATTTTAATTACATAAAATCCTCATGGAATACCTTGGATTTCCTCAAATTTGTGGAAAAGCTTATAAATCAGAGGCATCGCTATATTCGTAAATTTATTTCCTTTCGATTAAAAAATCCCTTAGTTGTGTTTACGTTTGTTTCCACTTTTTTCAGATTTCCAAATATCTGTTTCAATTAAAAGCAATTTGTTTTAATTAAAAAAATTATAAAAATTTCTAACACTATTTACTTATAAATATTGATCCAATATTTAATATCGATTGTGAAAATGAGTCATTAGATTTATTGTAACATTTTTCAATTCTCGCTCGCAGAATATAATCTTTTACGGATTGAAATATTACAGTACATCATGTATAATGTATGCGACAACTAATCTGCTTTCAACGTTTAAATTTCCTACATTTCTTCTTTCACATCCTGTTGCTTTTATCTGCAAACCTTATGCAATTAGCTGAAAAATGATATGACAAAAGCAAATGAAAATTATATAAGTAATCTATTAAGATTCTCTTTGTTGTAACTTATCACACATTAGTTTATAATATTGTTATTTGTGTAAACAAATTATTTGTTAAACAAAAATGATAAATCAAAATGACATATTATATTAGTCACATTTTTATCTCATTCAGATAAAATTAAGATTTTTAATAATTACAGTTAAAGGCTGAATAATATTGTCCATAAAAGTTAGTTTAATCCTGATTTTTGTAGCAGACTAATTGATTTCTAGCAATAAGCACTCTCAGGAATAAAACGTTGTTAAAAAAGTTCGCGATAGATAAGCTTGCTTTGTCGTTTTTTGTGCGCATCATTATCCTGTGCCTGTACTTGTTTATTCGCCTTTCGTATTTGTGAGAAATAAGAGGAAGCGAAATAGTTAGAGATGGACATAAATCTAGGATAGAGGTGACAGTATTGACCCAGTTGCCAGTGGTGCTCGTTCATCCTCTTCGCTCTTCCCTCGCGCTCGATGTCGATTAGGCTGGAGTTGTAAACGCGTGTGTGTACACGAATATTAATGACGTTAATATATTTACGGTTAGCGGGTTAACCGTTGTTCTATGGGTATAGAGCGTTAATTCTTTAATACATTTCGACACTTCAGCAACCTGAATTAGCTATTCACAAAGGATATTTCCAAGCTGTTGAATGCAGCGGAGATTTTAATCAAAGATATTGAAAGACGAATTAAAAAAATTCTGATGTTATTCCGTACGAATTTTTTTTAATTAATGTTTTTAAATTTTTAATATTTTTATTAAGATTTTAGTGATCTATAAAGATATTAAGTATAATAAAACAAAGAGTTTAATTAAATATCCATCGACAATATTTATTTCGACAAGTTTAAAATATTATTTTTCAAGTATTTTTAACTAAAATTTTTTTATTCAAGACTTTATAAATGTAAAGGAATTATAAATTTTCAATTACGATTAATTTCGATTCTGTCGGTGCATTTTGAAATATATTTTTAAAAGACAAAGAGTTGGCAATCATTTAAAAGGCGATATTTTAACGATTAAATATCACAGATTATTTTTTTACAACATACTTAATATATAAATCAAATGAGATAAGTTCCACAGATTTAACTTTGACTATAAGTCACTTGATCTGATACATTTAATATAAAAATTTTGCATCGATCGATTCGCTAAAATATGAAATATTGGCACGCATATATAAATACATGTACATATTCGTTCTCTCTCTCTCTCTCT